CTCAGCTTATTTCACCTAATTTTGCAGGCTAGTTCCCCTTACTTGTTCCTTGTCAATATCATTTCATACATCTTATTTTTAAAAGATATCATTGTAAGTAGGCATATATCAATACATATGTCATTTATCTTGTTTACTGTAGCGTGCATCTAAACTGTGACTTTATATTATTAAGGTATATATACCTGTATCCAAACTCTGGGTCTGGGTTCACCTTGTGATATGAATTATATAGTTGTCATTTGAATAAATGACCGAGAGGATAATGATCTATTCTTTTTTAGTGAATATCTTCTGATAGTGCCTTCAATACATGAGGAATTTTCAACGATTTAATAAATTCATCCATATTTTCTTTGCTGATTACCAGTTTATCTTCTAGATCAGTGATCATACTCCAACTGTCTTTGTACATTTTACGAGGTGTATTGCACAATCCATCGATCTTTTTCACATCAGCTTTGGACAACATCTTCCCAAATTTCATCAGCTTTTGTCGATGAGCTGTGAAATTTGTTGAAACGGTTCCTCCCTCTACATCCGGGAATGATGGTAGTGTTTTCTTAATCATCGTTTGAAGAGCAGTATGTCCACTTATTCTGATGGTATCATGCAGTAGAGTAAGGTCCTTTGCACTAATCTTGTCCTGTACGACCAATTCATTCATCAAATCTATCGTCTCAGTTATTTCATCTAGTTTCCCATTGTCCACTTTATCTCTGAACAACACCTTCAACATAGTTAGACATCCCTTTTCATCATACCAATTTGAAACATCCATTTTAAGAACATTGAACTGCATCTTTGACATTTCTAAAAAAAATAACAGAAAATAATATTAATACGCTACTCCATTATGCATGTTATAATGTAGATTAATAATAATAATAAAAAATTATAATGTGCACATCTTCACCAGTAGTGCTCAAGGCGCTTGTTTTGGGTACAAGTCATCTATAAAAATTATCTAAACAGTTGCGTATCAATTTTGTTGTCTGTCAAGCTGGTCATTTTGCATTTCCCTTTAAGACAGGTCATTAATAAAAACGTGTAGATATGCATGTTTTCCATATTTCATACATGACATACTGATGACCTCTTGCTCGACTCACAAAGAGCTCATCTTGCTCTTTTTCTTCTTCCTCACCCATATATATGTCTGTAATATAAGTTATATAATTAACATGATGTAAAGCTTACCTATTTCTTTTCAACATTTTTTTTTTTTGCAATTACAACGGATTTGTACTTGTTAGAGAATTAAGTGATTACCACACTATACACTAATAAATGGCCTAAAATAACATGTTATATTTAAAGGTTTACTTGGTCCCACTGATGGCACTTTAGTATTTTTAACAAAAAAAACAAACATTATAGATTTGTTTATCTTAATGTTAAACATTAACATTAACATTTTGTTGCTTGATGAACAGTTGATTTCAGAACGCAGGAGATTAAAGTGATAGGGACATATAATTAGATTACCGGAAAAAAACACCAGTCAAAAAAACAAAAGGAGAGCTAAAACGGAAAGCAAACAACCAGTAAGAAAACTAAAAAATAACTGGGTGAGCCAAATGAAAAAAGACCTGAAAAAACATGTAAACACAAACACTATAACAAATCATCCTGCTTTGAACAGA